ACGGAGTGTACCCTCTATTCGCCAAATTTAATTTCCTGAAGAAACCTCTGCAGCGAATCGTTTGCGGCGGAGTGTTGGCTGCCGTGGCCTTCACTATCTGCGGCTTTTTCCAGTTGACCATTGAGTCGGAACTGCCGCCCATTCTTAACGCCAATGAATTTCACTTAACTATTGCCAACGGACTCGACACTGAGATTACGCTGACAAACCCCGTCTTATTCCCGGCTGACTCCACGAAAACTATAGACAAATACAATACTTTGATCAAAGAGAACGTTAACTCAAAGGATTTGCTTACAAACCTTAATCTTGAGATCGCATTCACCAGAACAGTAGGTGCCTGTTTGAATACTGAACCGGCCAAGATCAAATTGGACTCGAGTGTTGAAAAAGGAGGAGTATTGTACATTACTGAAGACATTTGTGGTCAAGTGGACAAGGTACTACAGACATACAATTTTGACGGCAAATTCGATATAATGGACAAACCGGCCGACGGCGGAGCGTTAACAGCAGTTGTATTCAATTTTAAGGGAATTACAGTAATTCCTGAAAATGGTTCGAATGTGGAGTTCCGGTTCACAAACAGTGAGTTCACTAAAGATTTTAAGCCTAAACATATCGATGAAATCGGCGAACAGCAGTACATCGGCTTCGTGCCATACAATGAACTGGACATTCATTTGGGCGGAGAATATACTTTGGAATTATTTAAAAGTCCTAAGGATAGCCAGGTTAAGCCAGACACCATCAAAAAGGATCTGGGTCTGAAACAGGGTGGTTCCTATATAATAGTCGCCCACTACGATAATGTATGTGTTGCTTGCAATATTTTGATAGTTTTATTTTTTAATTGAATTGAATTTTAGGGAAAATTTGATGCAATCGTGAATAATGTGGTGAAACCTAATTCGGTATCCATGTTCTGGCAGATCATTCAGTATCTGGTGATCACCGCCGGAGAGATCATGTTCTCCATCACCGGTTTGGAGTTCTCGTACTCTCAGGTTTGCTATATTTCATTGTTTTTTGCTATATTTCATTGTTTTTTGCTATATTTCATTGTTTTTTGCTATATTTCATTGTTTTATCACTTAATTTCACTAATGACTTAAAGTTGTAAAAGTTTTTTACAATTCATTGCTGTACTCCCCGTGCAATACATTTATTTAATCAAAATAATTAAGAAATTTAACCCTAATATAAATTAATGTTATATAACTGCAATATTAATATAATTTAATTATGACTAATAAGTTTTATCAAATATTAACACACCAAGTAACTATATGAAATTCAATGAGTCTTACAGTTT